GGGGACCTTAAGGTTCCATTTCTACTTCATTTCCAATTTTTCTTCGAGGTTCTTTTTCACGAGGCAGCAACTCCATGCCCTCCCCAGCTTCAGAGTTGTACCACCACACTACCAGGTGGGAAATGAGGCATGTGTTGGCTTTACGTCCACCGGCAGTCCGTGGTATTGGGAGTACAACTCTTCAGGTTTTTTGCCACCAAAATTTCAGTGACTTGGATTTTAGTTGGTTGGTGGGGATGGGACTGGGTGAGAATTCATTCTAGGAAGAGTGGTTTTATCAGGTGAAGTTAAAGGGGCTGTATTTCCACCATACTTGACCATTTTATAAGCCCCCTAAATTGCACTATTCTTACCTGTTCTTTAAAGTGAGTCACCTCCTACCTGAAACCTTTTATGAAGCTTGTTTTAATTATTGTAGAACATAATAAAAGCACTTCTTGGAAATTGCAAACAAAACTTGCATAAATTCAGATTGGCTCTCCTCTCTTCTCTACTCCCTCTAATTAATATGACAGGAGGGGTAAATATTTAAGTGATTCTTTTTAGAGGTTAAATACTCCCGAAGCAAGTATGTTCAAAACAAAGGATATCTGGAAATTGATGTCACATGAATGAGTTTTGTTTTTCCTGAGGAAGCCATGCACTGACGACCATGTTTCCCTTTGAAATGAAATTCTTTTCCCTAGAATGTAGGGGAACCTAAGGGAATAAAATGGAGAGTCATGAAGCAGGTCAGTCCCTCTTAGCATTTGTCTTTGTCAGATGTAGTGGCCAGCTCATCCCAGTTTAAGGGGGAATGTGGCTTTCGGCCCAGAACATCGACTTTGAATTTTCTGTACTCTGTAACAGAGACATGTTGGTCCTTTTCTTGCCTCACCAGCGAGTTGGGTGGGGCAACCTTAACTGCTGATAAGTTGAGCGAGTGTTTGTTCACTCCTTAGAAAGTCTGCGTGGTAAGGAATCCACAGCTCACATCCCGTCAGGCTGTGGTTGGGGTTGGACCTAGCATTTCGTTGTCCCAGTCTCACACTTGCCTCACTGTATAGAGTGCGTAATCCATGGCATGTGCACGTTCACAATTCCTTACCACAGTTTTAAACCCTTTGAAGTGCCAGGAGCCCAGCATGTTGCCTGTGGAAGATTCACTGAGATTTAACACATATTTTCATAGGAGATAGCTGCCAAAATGAGGAAAAATTGCTTGAACCAACAAAGTAAAAAATACCACCTGATGTTTCGCACAGTATGGATCTAAATATCTAAATATTAAGTTTTTCATGGACAGTTGAATTTAAATGTTAAACTCTTAATTATAATACTAAAAATATAATATACCTACATGACAAATGGAGAAAATGGGGAAATGGTCCATGATGCCATCACCTAAATACAAATCATTTTCATCTAGGTTTTTTTCTTGTAACACCTATTTTTTACAAAGCTGTATCATTGTATAATGCCCATTCTAGCCTACTTTTTCTGATTAACATTCACAAGGATTTTTCCTTATTGCTTCATAGCTATCATTTTTAACGTCTTCTGATACTCAATAGAGCGTGTGTACTGTTGTTTACTTAACCATGCCCTGTCGTAAAAGATCTAGATGGTTTCCGATTCATTCTGTCGTCATAGAAAACTGACCCTTTGAGTTGTTACCAGTACAAACCAGCAGTTCCAGGCACTGTTTAAACTATGGCTTGTCTCTTGAACGCACCAATTTTCATTCACTACTGTGAAATCATAGTGACCTTAAAGTGACCAGTAATTAATTTTTTTAAAAAAATCACGTTTTCTAAACTGTGACATCTCTCCTAGAATTTAAGCTAAAGTTCGAAAAGTCTTCAAAGCAGAAAACCACAGTACTTTCTCTCTTGATCCTCATCCCCCCGCCTTACTTGGCCCCCAGTGTATGCTAGTGACAGAACTGAGGGAGAAGTTGCTTTTGAGACTCTGGCCCTTTTGAAGTCATTCAGAGAGAAGAGGCTTGAGAAACCCAGACTGTCGTGGCCGGTAGCAAGCCCTCACCCAGCCTGCCGGTGAACTTGCACAACTGTTTGCCCATGTACAGAAATTATACAAAAGCTTTGGTATCATGTTTTGATAAGGATTGACATTTTGATGCCTGGGGTCAAGCCAGGAGGGGGCCTGTCAGCCTAGTTAACCTAACTCTTAGGAGCAGTCCCCCCATCACCCAGGGAGACACCAGGGGACTGTAGCTGGGTGTTCATAGACTCTGCTGTTGTAAGAAAGGCATGGCTTTATCTTTAGAGAAGAAACCTGGTGTTCACTTCTAGACAGATCTGATCTAATAAAAGTGCCGGGTGCCCGGTGTAGAAGGGAGACGGGCCTCAGAAGATTTTATTCCAGCGGATGCCATTTTCATATTGTAGCAGGGCTGTTGTGTTCCTCTGGAGAAAGAGGAATGAGTGAGCGAGTGCTGATTTTATTTTTTTAAACACTTTATAAGGACTCCTTAGCTCGAGCTCACAAAGGAAGCTTTAGAATTCCAGAGCAGTTTGAGAGTATGAAAAAAAAAAGGTAATAAAAGTCCCCCTCTCCATGCAGGGGAAAAGAATAGTGGCTTCTGAAACCAGATTTCTCACCTCTGCAACCTCGTCACAATTCATCATGCGTGCAGCACTGAAGGAAGAGGATGGACTCTTTGGTCCTATGAGGAAGCTAATGCTGCACTGGGTTACACTGTGTTTGCTTTTCAGGGAGTGAGATGAGTTGGGTGGTCTCAGCCTCCGTGCTCATTCATCCACACTGCCGAGCAACTGCACGACTGACGGTCTTTCTAAAGGGGGGCGGCAGGCAGATTGAGGGCATTTACAAGGTAGTGTCACGGTCTTGTAAAAGCAAGTGTTGTTTCAGGTCAGGCAGACTAACAGAAAGACGGGGATGGGTGTTTAGAACAGAATCTGTATCTTGGCTTGCCTCTAGCGGAAGGAGGAGCAGAGAGCAGCTCTTTCCTAACTGTAAGCCCCGAGCCTAACCAACCCCTGCAGGCTAGAGGTGGAAATAGGGAAGGTGAAGTACGGCTCTAACACATAAGCATCCAGAGTATCACCTAATGCACTTGAAGGCTTAACATAGAAGATACCCAGTAAGCAGAAATGAAAAGTGGTGGAGAATAAGGAACCTTCTGGGGGCAGGGTGAACTTAAGTTCCTGAAACAGTAAAGATTCCTATTGTGGGAGTGTTCAGGCAGGGACCCATCCCACTCCGAGGCCTAAAACCTGTGACATGAGGTTCTGCGGGATCAGGCCTGTAAGGGTCCAAGAGATGGGGAGTGGGCCATGGGGGAACCAGACTAGAAATGTTACAGCACCTAGTTAATCAGCAGCCAGTCCATCACATTAAATATCCAGCCGTCATGTATTACCTTTCAAGTGAAAATGAATAACTCCCATTAAGAGCAAAATGGGTTTGAAGTCGATTCAAGACAGATTAAAGTACTGTTATGAATGTGTGTGTTGGGAGGAGGAAAGGGTCTGTGTGTAATATGCTTGTCCTTGTACTTTTTAAATAATAGATGTTCTACAAACTTACGTAGACTAGGTTATCAAGATACTGGGGTGAAAGGTCACAAGATGTGCATGCTGGGAAGAGCACCAACTTCCTGGAATATTTCCTGCATTTAGCAATTTTTTTTTCAAAATTATCATGTAGCCTTATGATTTTAATGAATAAAATTGATTTTTAAAAATTGTTTATTAAAGCACGGATCTGTAACAGCAGCATCTTGGGTATCAAGAACAAATTTAAAAGCCGGAAACACGTGCTAAGTAACTAGACTGGATGAGACAGAAAGCAGTTTGACCAAAGAGTGAAAACTAGGCTTTCTAAACCAGTGACCTCAACGCCAAGTCAAATTATTTTTCAGTGAGGGAGGGAAGCCGGTATATATTGCCTCACTGTCATTTTCAGGATTTTGTTTTTTCTTAGCGCTTTTAGCAAAATTCTGAAAAATGGAGTTCCACATCCAAGACAAGTGAGAGAGCCGACCCTCAAGATACTGACCAGGTTTTGGAATGGCCACATCTGACCATCTGGGGATTTGTGTTTATATTGGAGAAGCCCTGCTTATTTATCCTGATTAAAACGCTTTTAGCCCAGCTGTTTTTCTCCTCAAAATCTTCCAGATCCCTTTCCATGTTTCAGAGGACTCCTTCCGCCAACACTTCCACACCCCCTGTTTGCTACCGAAGTCTCTCGTGACTCTCCCCCTTAATTAGCATTCTGTGTTGCCAGAGGAGTGGGGTGCAGGGGGCACGGTTTGGGCAAGTGGACGGGAAACTTTCCCTCTCACCACCCACTCTGAAGAAACTCTCACGTCTGGCGCATTGGCTAGATTGGACGTTGGATTCATGCCTTGTCTAGTTTCACTCTTCAATTACTTCTTCCCTGAAAGCAATTTGCTGAACCCAAACTTGCTTTTTTTACACGTATTTGTATGCAGACGTCCACGTGAACCTTTCTCAGGTTGCGTTTATCATGTCTCCTGTGCTGTGTTGTGATTTCAAGAGCTGTGACAGTAAAGTTGGGGGCACACAGTTGATGGCATCTGTGAAAGTGGGGTGTGCCTGGTGCTCGGATTGACTCATGGCTGGCAGAGCAGCTGGTGAGACAGTCCCACCGCCCTCCCAGCCCGACTGCCCCCCATGAGCCAGCAGGTTCTGTCTTGATTGGCGGAAGTCAGAACAGACTGAATTTAGCTTATCCCAACTCCAAGCCTATTAGTCCATTTCTTTCCCTTTTTTCTCTTACTGTTCAGTTGGTAAAGTTGTGTAGTGACAGAAATACATCGGGGAAGAAAAGAAACACTTGCTGCTTTTCCAGTGTGTCTGACAGATCAGTCCGGATGCTCATCCTACTTTGATTTTGGTGTTTCAGGAAACTCCTGTGCTATAAATGAATTTTGATTTTCACCCAACACAAAGCCTCTGGGAGCTGGCCTGGTCTGGCTGCTGTATTGCATCTTCTGCTTTTTCTTCCAGCATCGTCCAGCCAAGCAGAGAAGGAGCTGACAGATTCTCCTGCAACCGCCAAACGCATCTCCTTCCCAGGTAGCTCGGAACCTCCTGTGTCTTCGAAGCGACCAAAAACATCGGAGGAGACCAAACCCGAGCAGGTGAGGCCGGGAGGGGCTCTGCTGGCGGGGGAGTGTTTCAGACCCCAGGGGGGCGTGAACGCTCGGGTGGGCGGGGCCTGGGGCAGCCGCGGTTGCCGGTGGGAACCGAAGCTTCAGCCAGCAGGGTGGTGTGTTCCCCGCAGATGTACCAGTGTCCCTACTGCAAGTACAGCAATGCCGACGTCAACCGGCTGCGTGTGCATGCCATGACGCAGCACTCGGTGCAGCCCATGCTCCGCTGCCCCCTGTGTCAGGACATGCTCAACAACAAGATCCACCTGCAGCTGCACCTCACCCACCTCCACAGCGTGGCCCCCGACTGCGTGGAGAAGCTCATCATGACGGTAAGACAGCCAGGGACAGGACCTGGTGGCTCTCTCTCCCCGGGGGTCAAAGGCGAGGCGGTACCACGGACAAGGCTTTGTGTTACTGGACGAGAAAGCCAGTGGGAGCTGGAAATGTCACAGATGTTCACCTGTCCCTACCTTAGATGTGGCCTGTCCACAGCGTGACCATGGCCCAAAGGGCCAGATACTGACGTGTTCCCCAACATCCCTCATCATCCTCTCTCCCCGTGGGATGCAGGGGCCTCGACGAGGTAACCACTTACATGAAGAAACTGTTACCCAGATTTGCCAAACCTTTACTGAGCAGGTCGTGTTCTTGGTTGCTCTTATATTCATCATCTCTCATTTCATCCTCACGGCCACCCCGTTTTTAAAAAGCTTGACATGTCTACCTGAACAGCTGAGGAAACTGAGGCTTGGAGAAGTTAATCGACTTGATGCCACTTGTCAGTGGCAGGGGTGAGGTTTGAACCCACAGTCTCCAACTCTAGGACCGCAGCCCTGCGACGTGGGAGTTCCTCAGCGCAGGAGGACGCTCGGTCTGCAGCACGTGTTGATTCGTGAACAAGGGTTTTGCCTGTGGAACATGTCATTGCTCTGCCTGCGGGGCCTGGCTCTTAAGTGGCCGCTATAAACATGGCCCAAAAAAGTAGTATAAAGGTTTAAATCTATGCAATGTGAAAGCTTTTCAAAATACTACAGGTAGCAGTAATGTCCTCCTCTCTGTCTGGGCTGGGCTGCTGGAAAGCCCTTACCTGATTATGAGGGGAAAACACCACCAAGGAGTGATTCTCAGCTCTGACCTGCTTCAGCAGTGGAGTGATAAGGCCATTCCATTGCCTTTGTGTGTGAAGACTGCCGTGCAGGTCACAGACATACCACCTCTAGGCATTTCCCGTATTCACTTGGTTACACAAAATTAACGAATAACGTTATAAGTGGTATTTAGTCGTGAGGAACATATAATTGAGGATGCATCCAGAGGATTTTAGCAGCCAGCGGGAAACTCAGAGGTGACCTAGCATGAATTTCACTTCAGGTATAAATTCACTTTCCATGGCTATTTTGAAATAGACAGACTGGTGAACATTATTGAAAGATTCTCTGTAAGTAGAACTCCCTTTGTGGGTAGGTGGGTTTGTGTTACAAGCGTCCTTGGAGCTCTCACCAACCTTGGGAATAACTCAACAAGGGGGATTGTCTCAGGCCTTGTCACACCTCCCACTGCTGGCCTGGAATCGGGGGAACCTGAACAAACAGGAGGAGATGTGGGGAGGGAAGCGCCTTCAGTACTTAACGTTGTTCTTTTTCTCTGGTGCTTATTTTTCTGGTCTAACGTCAGTCTGGCCTAGGAAATGTGAGCCTATGGGAATCTGTATGATCGACTTACATTAGACTGCAGGTTTCATTTGTAAATCCTTAGGGACTAGTATATCAGTTATATTTCAGATAAACATGGTTTGTCACCTTTTTCTAACAGCAACAGTATGAAGATTCCAAGTAGTGAGTCTGGGGGTCACTGTGAATCTTCTTCATTTACCAGTGGAGTCTTTGAGAGTAGGATGTTACTGCTGTGTTTGCTTGGCCAGTCCCTGCAATATTTCTGAGTGTTACCCATTCAAGCAGTGATCCTCAACCTTTTTTTCTGGAGACACTGGAAAAACTTGTTGATTAGCCTTTCTGGGTTATTCTGTGTATAAAGTTTGACAACCATTGTTAAGAACTCCGAGTATTCTGCATGTACAGAATTGTGTGTACAATGCCAGGGAGCATAAGGGTACCCTGAAATTCATCCATTGAGCCAAGTTAATAAATGCTGTTCGAGAAGAATCCCTGAGAACATAATTATCTAGGAGAAACACGCTCCCTAAAGGGGCTATGCTTGACACCCTGGGTACCTATCTCATCTTCCCGCAGCAGACAATGGAGATGTTTTCCAGACATTTCTGAAAAAAAGTGTGCAAACTGTGGGAAATGTGCTGATTATAGGAAGGTCATTTGCTAGCAACAGAAGGAAGTTATAGGAAATAAAGTTGGAAGTTATAGGAAATGTAATCATAAAAGGGTTTTACACGTAAGGGCATATGTAAGGTTGGTTTGGTACCTGTCTTTGCTTGAGAAGTTGGACTTACTACATGCCTGTCAATATTGAATTGGCTTCTCCAGTCATGAGGATGGTCTGCATTGAGCTAAGCAGTTCCACCCTGATCCTTTATCCGGATCAAGCAGGAAAAGATGAGCAACCAGGGTTAAAGGGCAATTTGTGGCCATACCTTGGGGTGAACCCAGCATCCTGTTTGAGGACTGGACTGCTGATCTTGGTCTGTGCCCTGACAAATGAAACAGTTGCCGCAGTCCTTCTTTGGAAAAGTTTGGTGTTAGAACGGAATTTGCAATTGTTTTACAACTAAGTGATTATAATGAACCTGTGGTTAAAATCATGCCCCTGGAGGATATTTTACAGCAATTTTATTAGAAAATTGGCCAAGGGAAAATATTGGTTAGGCTTTCTGACTATATATATATAGCTGTTTGTTCCTGGCCAGCTAGAGCAAGAGACTCTGAAAACAGCCTGATAAGAAATGCCCCTCACATCAGAGCTCCATTTCAAAGCTGTATCCTGAAGGAATGGTCAGTGTGCAGTCGTTCATCCTCCAAGAGGAGAAGGTGATGTCTGCTTTGTCCCTGAGTGGATGAATGGCAGTGAGAGGAAGGAATCTTCTTCCTTGCCAGATGGTTTGACTGTAGATTAGGAAAAGCTGGCAAAACCCACCAAATAGACAGTTGTTGGCAGAGACAGGGTGTGTCCAGGGTATAAAGTTATAAATTCTGGTAAATATTTTTTGCTGTCTGGATCCAAGGTCTTGGGATCTGGCTTGAATTGGTTTTCAGTCCCTCTAAAAGTAAATTCCACCCTGATAAATGGAAATAGATTACTTTCTACACAATGTCTTTCCGTTCAGTTGTAAATGGAGAGTGTTTTGAGGAGGCTTCATTTAATAATACCTTATCAGACAGCTTTCAGGAACCTGCAGTGTCTAATATGTCTGTTGCTATGGTAACAGCTGCTTGCTTATGCTCTGCATCTCATATCTGTTTCTTCCGTGGGCCCCCTTCTTTTTACTGATGAGGGGGCTTGAAAAATATTCTCCACTGGGAACAATTGCAGCTCTGGCCCTCCACTAGGGAAGCTGCACCCACAGCACTTCATTCTGCTTGGCCTATTGGAAACAGAGCTCCAGAGGGTGTCTTTACACACGTCACGTGAAAGAAGGCAATCTATAAAGCTTAAGGCAGTGAGACCAGTGCCCCTCCAGAACCCACTGAACGCCGCCCCCCCTGCCTCCGCCCCCGTGTCAGTTACACCAAACGCTCACCCGGTCACAGAGAAGTTAGAAGATCCCAAATTCGTGGTGGGGACGTGGGAGCTGCTGCTCGTACCCTCCTTTCCCCGCTGTTTTAGGAAAGGAGGGCTGAGGGTGTGAGGGACGGGTTTCTAGCCTCTAAATGAGAAAGACCACCTACTATGCATTTCAGTACTCTTAAAGTATTCTAAGTGATCGCTGTCCTCAGTGGCAGGACACACCACTGGGATCCTGGAGCATTAATATGGGGAAATTGTCTTTGTTTCTCCATCATTTAACAAGGTATGACCTCACGGTGGAGAAAGGGATTGGCTCTGGAGCAGCCGGGAACACCTTTTTCTCTAGCCCTTCGTCTTTGCTCCCTTTGGTCATTCTTACGTTTTGTACACACACAGGTTCCCCTTCTCTGTTCCTGGCCCCACACTGCTTTCAAGTCTATCTCCTGCTGACCAACCCCTACCGCTCCCCTCTCGTGGGATCAGGGGTCTGTCTCCTGTGATTTCTTGTGTCATCATCTGTCTCTCTGCTTGGTGTGTGCCTGTGCATCCAAGTCTCTGGGTCAGACAGGCCACCGGGCCCCCCTGCACTGGGGCTCTCGGGTGGCCACTGGCCTGGGGGCTGTCACACCCGCTTGGGTACCAGCTCTCACTTTGTCTCCATCTCAGAGGAAGGTAATGAAAATAATCGGGCTTCATTAATTCCAAGCCCTGTGAGATGATAGCCATTTGGAGCCTGTTTGCCAATTAGATGGTCTAAATTAGAAGTGACCTTGGTACGCTGCTGCTGCTCGCCTCTCTGAGTCTAATGAAGCTTTTCTCTCCAATTCAGTCTCTTCTCAGCTCTCTTTTCTCTCTCTCACTGCGTGTGTGTGTGTGAACAGTTCATGTGTTTCCTTTACTCCCACCTACCTCCTTTTTTAGTCTTATTCTTGGATTTTAAAATCTGGTTCAGGGCTGCGTTTGTTTCTGGCCCACATAAATGTTAACATGGCCCTGCAGTTTTTCCTCATGGGTTTTAAGTTTAAAATTTTTTAAAAAAGGAGGGGATAGGCAACCACATAGAAGACATTTTAGAAGGGAAATGAGACAAAGAGAGAAACGGCCCTCTAGACTTGTGGTCCAGTGCCCACGTGGCACACGTGGGAGGCAGTAAGGGACCAGCTCACAGGTCCTGGCGGCCATCAAAGTCAGGAGAAGAAGTGAGTTGGTGGACCCTCACTGGTGCCATCGGCTTTGGATACACTGCTGGTTAGGATGCTCGGTTCTGGAAGCAGCTGGCTTTTAACTTCATGTTTAAACTTTCTGAACAGGACCAATACCACAATCATAAGGATGTAGAGACTGGCCAGATCTGTGCCAGGAAGGCTTGTGTCTGAGGCTTTCTGTCTTTTTTCTCTCCGTCTTGAGGTTTTTCATTCTACTGATTTTTTTCATTGATAAGTGAAAGATTTGAGTCTCCTTGAGAGTCTAGGTTTTGGCATATCTACACTTAGACTTGGAGTAGTGAGTCTTTCAGAAGGACACTCAGGCGAACAGTGCCAAGGCCGTGCGGATGAGGGTCTCAGAGAAACCAGGTTCAATACTTTCTCTAAGAAAATACCTTTGCTTCCCAGCATGTGGAACTTGTTGGTTGCATTGATCTCACCTCAGACAGGGTGGCCTTGATAGGTGAATTTGCATAGACAGTCCTGTTAAGAATTAGCAAAGTGTATACACCCCTTGGCTGCTCTGGGGGTTGTATTTGGCCATTCTACACCCATGACCCAGAGAAAGCAAGGGGTGGGGAGGGCTCTTGTCATTCCAGCTTCTTCTGTCAAGAAAGACTAAACATGGATGGCCTCTCCCAGGTGCCCGGTGTGGACCAGACCCACACCTAAGACTCTGGATTTTTTAAGGTGTGTCGTTGGGGCTTTCAGGCCAACTCACCTTATAGAAAGTTGAAAGGCATTAAATCATAATCCAAAATAATGGTGAATTGAACAGGAGGTAGGAAGTAGGTATTTGTGGACCCATGTCATCTTTCCTGATAGGTCAAGGGCAATTACCTAGAGTCCAGGAATTTCCCCCATGATTGTCGGAAATTACCTGCAATAGTCTGTGTCTGATAGTATTTTTCTAGGAGCCTGCAATTTTCTTCAGATTTTCTAATGAGTTTATGATCTCTAAAAGGTTAATTATTCTCCATGTGAGTGGCTTGGGCACAGGGACCTGTCTTGCTCCACCTCACAAGCATGAAGCACAGGGACCTTGTACAGCATTCAGAGAGTGATGGTCAGATGAATGGATGAGCAGAGTCACTGGATGGAGGCCCTCCTTCTCTTCAACTTAAGCTTGAAGATTTTTGGAATCAGTGTGGAACTCTTCTGTTTCTATTGTCATATATGAGAATTGCTTAAACTTAAAGATTTTCAGCAGAAAGTTCAGAGCAGAACTCCACATTCGTCTTGTTATACGTCAGGCCTGTTTACTTGTTAGGGAGGAACGAGAGCCACTGTCTTCTTACTGTCGGCATCTCGGCTCAGACGATGTTTCCTTCTTGCATCCCATGCACTCTGCACAGTTGGCGGGGCTCGGAGCGGTGGGAGGAACACATGTGGAAGATCTCCATGGGGCTGCCTTTGGGTGGCCTCAGATGACAATCTTGAGAGACGCAAATTCTGAGGAAGTGATGGCTCTAATCAACAGAATTTTCTTACCAGAAAAACTTTTCCTTTTGATAAAAAGGTCTGTTTTAACAGTCTCAGGTCCCCTCTATACATTCATTAATGAGTCGAGTATGGGGGACATAATTTAACATACTCGGTGTTTACAGGTGTAAGATTATTAGGAGAATCAATCTACACGGATGTCCATGTAGAAAGTGTAGGGTCTGGACCAGTTGTGCACTACTGCCTGGCCAAACCTAAAACTTTGTCTGTGGATGGGGCGAGGGGGCGGGGAGTGAATGTGTGATGCTGCAGGTGTCGTCTGCAGGGAGCTGGTGGCGGGATCCAGTCCTTCAGGGTCCCTGCAGGTTGGGCCCGTTTGGACTGGCCGTGGTTGTGCTGTAGCCAGGTCTTATCCTCTCACACACACGCATGTTCTGATGCTTCTGGCCAAAGGGAAGGTCTTTACAGAAGTGTGCTCAGCACTGTTGTGTGATTGCTTTTCCTGCGGATTTCAGCTGCCTGCCTGTCAGAGACCGTGGCTGGGATTGTCCGAAGCTTCCACACGGTTTGGCAGCCAGCTATGGTTGGGAAACAAGGGGTGCCAAGGCAGGTGTTGAAGGAACTCTGCCTTTGGCCAACTCTCATTTTCCTCCATGAGCAGAACTCTTCCGTGAGCCCCTGGCAGGACTACACTTTTTGGCTCTTCACGAAAAAGCATGGAAACTCTGAGTGACAGCCTTGAGAAGCTAGTAGGGGAGGGAGGAGTGGACGCAGACAGGGGAACACTCGTGTCTGGGAGCTGATGTGAGGGCTTCCAGTATCCTGCATGGCAGAGGGGCTTCCGTCACAACCTCTCTGTTCAGACACGTGCGCAGATGGGCCCCACCAGAACGTCCCCATCCTCAGGTTTCCATTTAGAGATCCTCCTCTTTGCCACTTGGGAATTCCTTGCCCATGAAAATTTTCTATAGCAAGCAGTTTTTGTTTGTTTTCAGGGAGAGATTGGGGACACTATAGATGAGAAGATGCAGGTAGGTAAAGTAATTACTTAAACACATGTGGGGCAAGACTTACGGGTTTGGAGGCCCAGATTAAGATGCAGAGGAGCATGTGAGGTTGATGATTATATTTCGGGGAGAGTTAATTGATGGAAGGTGAAGGCAGACAAAGAACCGCTGCTTACTGCCTTCTTGAATCCCAATCAGGAATTATGATTAAAGTCGCGGCGAGACAACAGAGGGCTGATGAATTGGTGTCTTTTTTTTCTTTTTTGCCGTCATTCACACTTGATTGACTTCAACCTTTCAAGTGCAAAAGTCTCTCTTTTCCATTATTATTCATAGCCATCTGAGTTTTTCTAATTAAAGTGTATGAAAACAATTACTGATCCGTCGTACTGAGTCTGTTAGAGGGGATGTCTGCCTTACTGTAATGTGTATAAAAAGCCCACAGTTTTCTATAATGATGTGCAGCTGAGGTGTTAGATAATTTTATTCTTTTTTACTCTGTAGGGTTTTTTTTTTGTATTTCTCATGATTCACTTTTCATAATTCCTAAAGATCCCAGGAAAGGACTGATCCTGCAGCTACAACCGAGAAAAGAGGTGGGGGGGGAGTCTTTTTTCCTTTCCCTTTCTCCCCCTCTTGCCCCCAACCTCGTGCTCCCCCTCGGTCGAGGACTATAAATTAATCGGTGACCTTTCACTTCTTGGATTCCCGCTGGACTCCCCAACCACACTGGTCAGAAATGCTTTCTATTAAAAAGAAAATAGATGGAATGAGTTTGGCAATCTCCGCTCCATTCCTAACGACTCATCAACAGCTAGCCTCAGCCAGCTGCCGACACGCTTTGTGTGAGGGTGCAGATGTCTGTGAGAGCAGGGATCCTGTGTCACTCACGATCACCTGCCATGCACCTGCTCGTCGTCAACACAGGGCTTCTCAGACCCTTCCCCACAGTGCCTGTTGCTTCATTTTTTGCACCTATGGGCATCTGGGTTGCTGAAATTACCCTAAAATGTATTGGGGAGTTACCTTTTGGTGTTTATGGGGACAGATGTCTGGGTTTCCTCTAGGAGTGGAAACGACTACTGATGATTCTAGTGAACGTGTCAGCAGCGATTCTGAGCAAGGCCAGGATCCCCAAGCCATTAAAAATTAATAGTGATTTATTTTAAATATTTAATTTTGAACAGTAATATGGGTGTTCCGGTCTTCGCAACAGCAAGCAAAGATACTATCTCAGTAGTCGTGTTTGATGGGACAGTAATGCCTCCGGGTGGGGCTGGATGCCATGTAGAAAGGTTAGCAGTGGCTGTAAGTTTCTATTCCTGTAACCTTGGGGTCAGTTTATTTCTCAGGCTGTCATCGAGTTGGGGACAACTTCTAATTCATTTGGGAATATCACTGCAACTACCTTCCCACCCTGTGGTAGGCAGGGGGATATTGCCTTTCTCAACGAAGAACCTGTTATCCTCACATTGGATATTGAGGGCTTGTGATCACAGTAATGTAGGGCGAAAGATAACTTGTCTGGACAAGGTTCTGGCCAGATGGCAGGGAAGCCTGGAAAAATGTCTGAAGATCTGACCTAAGATTGTAGCTCTTTTGACTGAGGCTAATTCTGGAATTGCTGTATTAGGAAACACTAGCCATGGCCCAGGTGGGGCTGCCCTGTTGTAGAATTTAGGGTGCGGGGCACCCTCTGTGGCCAGGACGCTGGCCGGAATTTCCCCCTGATGCTGTGTGTACCTCGGGCAAAGGCTCCAGAAGAAATCCTGCCTGAAGTGAGCCGTAAGAAATGCTCATTTGCACTCGATCTCAGCTTATAAAGGGTTACAAAATGTTCTTTCCTGGAAAATCTGCCAGTGTGTCTTCGTGTCCTTAGCCTCCCCTTTGTTCCCTTCTCTTCTGCTTACCCTTGCCTCTGCTCTTACTCCCCTCCTCTTCTTGCCTGAATACATTTTGAAAACAGTACTACGATGCTCCCTGCTTCAAGATTACAGTGTACTTTACTAGGTATGATTTAATTAGGGCCCTTATTATGTTTTCAGCAGCTTAAGGTGGGCCTTTCAACTTATCTACCTAATTGGTTGCACAAGAAGTTTCACAGCCCATGACAAAACATTGTCAGTGATCAAAGTCAAAATTCTGCATAAAGGAAAAATATTAATAATAAGATTATTCGTCAAGTGTGCACTGCTAATTATGTCCAGAATGTAACCGTAGAAACACTTTTGACTGATGTGAGCGTTGTCTAATAAACATGAATCTTCAGTGAGCTATGAAAAGTGACACCTCCAGCTTTACACTGGTGAAGGCTAATTTTGCTTGTTAAATAATTTTTACACGTTCCCCAGTTTTGTGTCTCTTTCCCCCCATCTGACTCTCCTCATCTGTCTGCCTCTCGCGCGCAGGTGACCACCCCTGAGATGGTGATGCCCAGCAGCATGTTCCTCCCGGCAGCCGTTCCGGATCGAGACGGGAGCTCTAGTTTGGAGGAGGCAGGAAAGCAGCCTGGTTAGTGTCACACTTCTTGACCCCTGAGAATAGGAACAAAATGAAACCTTGGGCCAACATTTTCATGGAGCAAAGGTGCCGAGACTTCTTCCTGGTGCTTCTGAGCTGAATGTAACTTTCCAAGGGGTGAGGAGCACTGTTGTCAGCTACTTGATCCTCTGGTGCTTGGCACATGTTTGTGTACTAGTCATACGGTTTGAAGCAAGAAAAAGTCAGGTGAGAGCCAGCAGGGTTTCAGTGGACACATGTCCCCTTAGGCTATACATTTAGGGAGTGAATAACCAGAGACCCAGAGCATAGATCCATGACTTACCATCCTAAGCTGTTAAATACACCCTCTCTGGGAACTAAATTATTAGGGACCTGTGGAGCATGGGGTGATCACAGGGTAGTGGATTAGCTGTCTCTGCAGAGTTCTTCTCTGGGACGTCCAGGATTGCCGTAGGAGGCTACAAAGATGCACTTGGAAAGAACGTTGTTGTAGACATAGATGCCACTGGTGGTGGAGCCCTGGAGGGGGGAGTCCTCGCTAGGTGGGTCATCAGACCTCTGTTTATGAGTCTCTCCTATGTCTTTCACCTCCTGTCAGCAGCTAATATTTAAGTTGGGGAGAGTTCTGCCTCACTACTGGCCCACCTCCTCCCTTGGGACTTTTCCATGTAAGGCAGTGAACAGCTGACCTGAAGAATATTAATGGGTGTGATGATCTCACTGTAGACAAAAATTTTAATGTATTATAATAACTAGCCACTTAAATGTTCATTACTTACTGAATAGAGATGACAATCAAAAGTCATGTTATAATAAGAAATTTAATGCCTAAAAAATATATTATATACATATATATATATTCCAAAATTTCTTATAATGGACAACAGATCTTGCAAATTCCCCACAGCTCAGCACAGCATTCCTTCAGATACTGTACAATTTAGATTAATGTAAAGGGGGCATCCTTCAAACCAGTTCTTGAGAAATTGAGGATTCTGCGTTAAGCAATTAAATATTGTCTAAAAGACAGGTCTGTGCTATGAAATAGGCGTACTAGGAGTTGAAACTTTTCGTATTTCCTTTTCCTCCTCCCTGCTCACGTGTCCTGCTGATCCTCCTTGGTGGGGTGGAGGGGTGCTCTGTGGAGAGAGTCTGTGTGCAGGTTGGGTATTTCCCTCGTCATCAGAGTCTGTGTTCATGAGGCCTTGCTGGGTAGACAGCTCTGGGTGCCATCCTTGAAACAAAGCCTTCTTTATCACTGGGCTTGATTTTTTTTTTTTTAACAGAAACCTCAGAGGATCTGGGAAAGAACATCTTGCCCTCCATGAGCACAGAACATGGTGGAGATTTGAAACCCACTCCTGCTGACTCGGGCTCTGTGAGAGAGGAGGCCGGCTTCCTCTGCTGGAAGAAAGGGTGCAACCAGGTTTTCAAAACTTCTGCTACTCTTCAGACGCACTTCAATGAGGTTCATGCCAAGAGGCCTCAGCTGCCCGTGTCCGATCGCCACGTGTACAAGTACCGCTGCAATCAGTGCAGCCTGGCTTTCAAGACTGTTGAAAAGCTGCAGCTCCATTCTCAGTACCACGTGATCAGAGCTGCCACCATGTGCTGTCTGTGTCAGCGCAGTTTCCGAACTTTCCAGGCTCTGAAAAAACACCTCGAGACGAGCCACCTGGAGTTGAGTGAGGCTGACATCCAGCAGCTTTATGGTGGCCTTCTGGCAAATGGGGACCTCCTGGCAATGGGAGACCCCACCCTGGCCGAGGACCACACCATCATCGTTGAGGAAGACAAGGAGGAAGAGAGTGACGTGGAGGATAAACAGAGCCCAACGGGCAGCGACTCTGGCTCAGTACAAGAAGACTCAGGATCAGAGCCAAAGAGAGCTCTGCCTTTCAGGAAAGGCCCCAACTTCACCATGGAAAAATTTCTAGACCCTTCTCGCCCTTACAAGTGTACCGTCTGCAAGGAATCTTTCACTCAGAAGAACATCCTGCTAGTGCACTACAATTCTGTCTCCCACCTCCATAAGTTAAAGAGGGCCCTTCAAGAATCAGCAACTGGTCAGCCAGAACCCACCAGCAGCCCCGACAACAAACCTTTTAAGTGTAACACTTGTAACGTGGCCTACAGCCAGAGTTCCACTTTGGAGATCCACATGAGGTCTGTGCTGCATCAAACCAAGGCCCGGGCGGCCAAGCTGGAGGCTGCAAGTGGCAGTAGCAATGGGACTGGGAACAGCAGCAGTGTCTCCCTGAGCTCCTCCACCCCAAGTCCTGTGAGCACCAGTGGCAGTAACACCTTTACCACCACCAATCCAAGTAGTGCTGGCATTGCTCCGAGCTCCAACTTACTGAGCCAAGTGCCTGCTGAAAGTGCAGGAATGCCACCCCTGGGGAATCCCATCGGTGCCAACGTTGCTTCGCCATCAGAGCCCAAGGAGGCCAATCGGAAGAAGCTGGCAGATATGATCGCATCCAGGCAGCAGCAGCAGCAGCAGCAGCAGCAACAGCAACAACAACAGCAACAGCAGCAGCAGCAGCAGCAGCAGCAGCAGCAGCAGCAAGCACAGACACTGGCCCAGGCCCAGGCTCAAGTTCAAGCTCACCTGCAGCAGGAGCTGCAGCAGCAGGCGGCCCTGATCCAGTCTCAGCTGTTTAACCCCGCCCTCCTTCCTCACTTCCCCATGACTACGGAGACCCTGCTCCAGCTGCAGCAGCAGCAGCACCTCCTCTTCCCCTTCTACATCCCCAGTGCGGAGTTCCAGCTCAACCCCGAGGTGAGCTTGCCGGTGACCAGCGGGGCGCTGACGCTGACTGGGACAGGCCCGGGCCTGCTGGAAGATCTGAAGGCGCAGGTGCAGATCCCGCAACAGGGCCACCAGCAGATCCTACAGCCGCAGCCGCAGCCAAGCCAGCTCTCTCTGTCCCAGAGTCACTCTGCCCTCCTACAGCCCAGCCAGCACCCTGAAAAGAAAAACAAACTAGTCATGAAAGAAAAGGAAAAAGAAAGCCAGAGAGAGAGAGAAGGTGCTGAGGGGGGAGAGGGCAACGCCGGACCAAAGGAATCACTGCCAGATGCCTTGAAGGCCAAAGAGAAGAAAGAGCTGGCGCCGGGGGGCGGTTCTGAGCCTTCCATGCTGCCTCCACGCATCGCCTCGGATGCCAGAGGGAATGCCACCAAGGCCTTGCTGGAGAACTTTGGCTTTGAGCTGGTCATTCAGTACAACGAGAACAAGCAGAAGGTGCAGAAGAAGAACGGGAAGACGGAGCAGGGGGAGAACTTGGAAAAGCTCGAGTGTGACTCCTGCGGCAAGTTGTTTTCTAACATCTTGATTTTAAAGAGTCATCAAGAGCACGTTCATCAAAATTACTTTCCCTTTAAACAGCTGGAGAGATTTGCCAAGCAGT